GCAGATTGAACTTACATCGCTAGGTAGGGTGACACAAATTCTTGGTAAAACCTGTTCAACATGTAGATGACATGCCCAATGTTTTTGACACGTAGCAAAAAGTTGACACTCCTTTCTGTGAAGCTGGAACCAAACATAGCGCAAGGATAGGAGCAATGTCCTTTCTTTTGAGAAATGGCTCCGGATAACGGAAGAGTACCAAAAATTATTATACAAATTGATATACTCGTGATTGATGTTGTCTATGACCATTTGATAGAGGATAAGCTCACTCTGCGATGAAAGCGAACGCATTCCTATTTATCCCTGGGTAAAGGCATACGTACTTGCAACTAATCATTTTGGAAACAAGTATGATGAGAAATAACACATTTGCAGCTTTTGTTAGACCTTGTTCATCACCTTAAAAGTCAAAAGTTCTCTTAATAGCCCGACATCTAAACGACATCTCTTTAGCAAACTTGATAAGTGTCTTTAAGCAACACACTTCCTTTGAAGTTGTTTAAAAGTCTTTTATCGAAAATGAGTGTGACTTGATATGGCACAGGAAGAGTTTCCCGGAAGTGGCACTCAGAAACAATTCATGAAGCACCAGTGTATTCAAACGCGGGCACAAAAGCCTTCCGGATCGACACCGCTGACTGTAATATTACGAAATGGACCACAACAATTGACACTGCCCGTGCTAGTAGACACGAATGGTAGTCCTGCAAATATCGCCTTTGTTTACATATTCAGCTTTTGTATTGTCAATACCGTTTTTGAGATACTGTACATAGCAAGGTGCAGAAACTTCGTAACTGGTCAGCTCCTTGATTGAAAATACGGTGGCAACAATTCCGCCCACTATTCCGAAAGCTAAAGATTTGCAGGCTTTGTTTTGTAGAGCAATGCAATAGATGTAAGCTTACTTAGCGAAAGGCAGTTCAGTACTAGGATTGGCTTCGGCACATATTTGAACAGCCTGAATGTAAATCAGCATTTTCAAATGGATACGTTAAGAAAATTGCGAAAAGGAAAAGTCAGGAGAAGCCGTCATTAAAAGTCACTTACTCTGCAAAGTTGGCTTTAACGTTATCATTATCTTTCACTCCTTCTCCATTATTGAGAAGGAGCTCTCTCTTTTCATCCGACGCTCTCAAAAACAGATAAAATACGCTTGGCAAAATCATTGTCATCATTGACATGGTTGTGGCACCAAACTGAA